CTTTTCATAGATTTCATTGTCAGAGTGAGCATGAAAGCAAGGGCGTATTGAAAATTGATAAAAAGCTGCTACTAATCAATGCAATGCTAAAAAGAATAGGAATATCCTTCTATTCTTCTGTTTTCAAAAATTGTATATCCATTAGAAGGTCCTCTGTTTTTTAGTTATTCTGACCGTAACATGATACTTTTTAGTTATTCTGGCCGTAAAGTGATAACTGTAATCAAAAAGTAAACAGCGACATTACACAGGACACAGTGCATGTAATGCTCACACTAGTCATCAAATACATTTAGAGCGCATTTGCTCACAAAATCTTTCGCAGAAATTATATTCAAATAAAAATAGAATGGTTGCGATAAAATTAAGTTGGACAAAATGCTGCCAACTACAATTCATAGTCCTAGTAATTTTCCTTCTTTAAGACATATTATTGCGCTGCAAGCAAAAAAATCTCATCTTTGTTGTGGGCTCACTGACAAAATTTTTTTGCACTTATTGCAGGATTGAAAGCTTGAATTTTTGAGAGGAAAGACTAGCAAAAAATGGTATAACGGAAGGAGGTACGAAATTTTTTTGTTTTCGAAACTATAAAATGCAAACTCGACCTTGTCAGGCATTATCGCCTTGATATTGAATCTGATTGTTATGTTCTCATAAGTCTGAACAGCTTGATCAGGAAAGAGTTTTCAATCCTGATAATACCCAAAAACATTTCTAACCCTCTAATTCAAAACATTCGTGAAGGAGAGCTTTCAACAAGTGTCTAGAGAAGAACAGAAATAGAGCTCAAATAAAGTTAATCGGTAGATGGCCGAGATTATACTGGTCAAGTTCGGGTAAAAATAATGCGGAAAAGCAGAATGTTCCAGATGCGTAACCTAACACCTTAAGCAAGCCAAATTTGGTTAGTACTGAGTAGAAATCTTTTGGAAAAATCTTAACTTAGTAGTGCAGAAATGCAATGCTTACCTTTCGGGTTGCCTTATAAGTATTTGGAATCAAGCCATATTCATTAGTTTTTTTTTCAAAATTCAAAAGTAGGCACCTTTGTCGTCTGTTTTTTAGATTCATGCGTTTGCATTTTCAGCTCTCAATAATTCGATTACTTATTCCTACTAAGTTCGTAGCCCTTCACGTCCAAGCTATTCAGCCAGATCACCGAGCTCGCTGCTCTGCAAGTTTTGGGCTTGCATCGTTACCAAACCGGGCCTGTGGGCCAGTGGGTCTAAAAAGTCTGGGAGTACCGGTCTCAGTTCCATCTGTCCTGTTCTCCCTGGTCTGTAGATGCGGAGATTTGCGGTGGACCTGCGTCTCAGGGTGATCCTACAGGTCCATGCTTTCCATCGCTCCGTGGGCATGATCACGCCTCCCCTGGCGGGCAAACGAGGCATCCAGTGTATAGTATTGGAGCGCAGAGTTCAGTATTGTTCCCCTCCGGGAGAGGGGGACTACGCAACGATACTGCAGAATATCTGGGGTAAAACTAAAAATTTCCCAAAATTACTGACAATAGGAGTGTTATTTCAACCCAGTATAAGAGGTAAAACACACATGATCTGCAAGACAATAGATTACGATGGAGCATCGCGTAAGGAGGAGGTGGCTTGCTTTTGATGTGATTGGCACGCATGAGGATGTACATATATTTGAGAAAATCAGCCATGTAACGCGTGTACGTATTTGAAGGTGTGGCTATTGTTCTTAACTTAAGCGTACCACAAAATACATCTGGTTTGAGACAGAAACAGCAAATCGGTTGTCTTGCTCCTAGTAGTAACGGAGGTTTTAAAGGGTATAAGCAGTGGAAGTCATGCTTAGCAGCGCGAAGGAAGATCTGTTTGCTTCTTTTTAGGAAAGGGGAGCTGAAGGAGTTTTCATCAAAACGTCGCGAGTAACAGTGAATTCTGATGACGTTTTCGGCGTTGTTTTCGTCTTCACACAGAGATTGACTCTCAATCAGCTGCATCCATGGAGACCCAGAATCATAGACATTGTTGGTATGGTGTTATATAGTAGAGGTACACTAAAGGGACAGCGATAGCAATGGAGAAAAGCCGACATGCTGATTTGGGCCTCATTAATGTCGACAACTGAAAAGATCATTGAATCCTCGTTCCTTTCTCTATGCCATGGCAGATAGCGATGAATATCCGTAAAAGGCCAGCGTCTCTTCTTACGATGAACCCAAAAAGTCAAGCATCTTCGCGTTCTGTGGATCATTTTTTCTGCAAACTAAAAACTATGAAGTTGTAAGGTAGAGAGCTTGAGCCATTTAAGACATAATGGAAAGGGAAACTCAGCGATATTTGTCTACAGTATTGCAAACTAACGCTTTGGCGTGTCTACAGTTTGATATTTCTTTGCGAAAAACTGGAGCGCTGTTGATACTTCTCCCAATTTTTTCTTTCAGTAGCACACGGGAACTATGTATAGCACACTAAGAAAAGTGTACCTAGCATCGACTTTTTTTTATTAGAAAATATGGCAAATTTTTTTGTTCATCAGCTGCATTTTTGTTAGAATCACATGTATCCTCAGTAAAAACAGCTTGCAGAACCTAATGAGTTCAATTTCGCTATCGGTGAAGTTGAAAGTGTTCTTTGTTTACCGCATCTTACCTGGTATTACCCTAGGACATAACATTCCAACATAGCTGCTTAACCCTGATGTTGTCTGAATATCATTCATTTATGACGCATTAAGTGAATAGAGACAGAAAAGTTTGACCTAC